GTTATTTGCGATTTGAGACAATACTCTGATGTAACACTAGCTAACAGGCTATACAGTATTTCATGCTGTATTTTATATATTGCTGTTAGCTAGTTGTAATGCTAGCTACCTTACAGGTGAGTAACATCATAAAATTTAATAAAAGGCTATAATTCTAGTTTGCTAATGAAATGTAACTTAAGCTCCAACCCTTTGAACAGTACTGGGACAACTAATGTTTCTCACCTCGATGAAGAAGACGGCCCAGAACTGTTTCCAGGCTGTGGAGTCGCTCAGAGCTCCATGACTGGCCAGGTGAGTTCCCTTCACCGTGATCACTGCATGAGCCACGCCCATCAGAATCAAGCCCAACAGGAAGTAACACACCTGAGATGAGGATAACAGCAGGAACGCTAAGAGAGACAGAGACAGGAAGAGACAGAAAGACAAATTCAGAGCTGATTCATCATTTAAAATGATCTGCACTTATATAGCGCTTTTATCCAAAGCGAGTTACATTGTGTCTCATTCACCCATTCACACACACACTCACACACCAATGGTAGCAGAGCTGCCATGCAAGGCGTTAACTTGCCATCGGGAGCAACTTGGGGTTCAGTGTCTTGCCCAAGGACACTTCGTGTCTTGCCCAAGGACAACCCTATGATTAGTGGACAACCCGCTCTACCATCTGCACCACAGCTGCCCCACGAGTGGTCGTATCCACTTTACCTGCTCTCTCTACAAGGTCGTATCCTCTTTACCCTCTCTCTCTACAAGGTTATGTCCTCTATACCCGCTCTCTCTGCAAGGTCATGTCCTCTATACCCGCTCTCTCTAAGAGATTGTATCCTCTATACCTGCTTGTTCATTCCTTGTCATTTGAAGACTAGACTACTGCAACTTGCACCTGGCAGGTCTCCTCAGCATGCCAATTTGGTCATTGCAACTGATCCAGAATGCAGCTACATCTCCCAAAGTTCTCCCACACCACCCTGTTGCTATGCTCCCTCCACTGCCTTCCTGTAGCTGTCTGGATCACATTTTATGTGATTCATTTAGCGTCTGCTAAATGAATAAATGTAAATGTAATGTAATGTAAAAAAAACACTGATTCTCAGTGACTGGCAAGTACATAGATGATGTGACTTTCTTCAAGACCATCACCACATGCACAAACCAGAAACCATGGATGACTGCTGAACTGTGCTCACTGCTTAAAACCTGACACACGGCAAGGACCAATCTGTCCCGGACTATCAGAGAGGCAAAGCTCATAAACACAAAGGACACCAGGCGTATGTGACATGCCTTCAGGCCATCACAGACTACAAAGCTACCACTTCTCTGTGATGGTGAGCGCTTGCAAACTCTCTGAACAATTACTATGCACAGATTTAAGGCAAAGAACATGCCAGTGGGGAAGACCACCCGAAGTATTTTGACTGTCTGCAGTAGAGGTAAGGAAAACTCAGTCCAGAGTTAGCTGCAGGTCCTCACAACACATGGCCGGGTGCTCAGGGAATGTGCTGATCAGATTGCAGATGTCCTCACAGACATCTTCAGTATTTCCCTGCACAAAGCAGGTGTCTCTGTGTGCTTCAAGACAATCACAATCACCCCCATGCTGAAGAAATCATCTGTGTCCTGTCTGAATGACTACCAGCCCACTGCACTCACAAATATCATGAAACCCATATAGAGCAGACTTGCCACCACACTGGACCCATTTCATTACGCCTACTGTCCCAACCGCTCAACATAGAACAACATAACGGCTATCATCTACTTTTCTCTGACCCATTTGGACAAAAAGGACAACGATGTAAGAATGCTGTTCATAGACTTCAGTTCAGCTTTCAACACAATTATCCCATAACATCTGACAACAAACACCTCCCTCTGAAATTGGATCCTGGACTTTCTGACTGGAAAACCCTAGTCCGTCTGGATCGGCAACTCCACCTCCAGCACCACCACACTGAACACCGGCGTCCCCCAGGGCTGTGTGATCAGTCCACTGCTGTTTATCCTGCTGATTCATAACTGTGCTGCCAAGTTCAGTTCTAATCACATCATCAAGTTTGCTGATGACACACCAGTCGTGGGCCTCATCGGCAACAATGATGACTCAACGTACAAGGAGTCGGTGAACCAGCTCTCAGAATGGTGGAGAGACAACAATCTATCTCTTAATGTTGATAAGACTAAAGAGATGATTGTCGACTTCAGGAGAACCCGAGTGGACCACTCATCACTGCACATCAATGGAACAACCGTGGAGAGTCAAAGGCTCCATGTTTCTTGGTGTGCACATGACAGAGGACCTCTCTTGGACTCTCAACACCTAGCCAAGAAAACCCAGCAGTGCCTCCACTTCCTGCAGAGACTGAAAAGAGCCAAACTTCCCTCTCCCATCCTCACCACCTTCAACAGAAGGATGATAGAGAGCGTTCTGACCAGCCGTCTCACCATGTGGTGTGGGAACTGCACAGCCTCCGACTTCAAGACCATACAACGAATTCTGAGGACAGCTAAAAAATTATCTCTACCCACTATCGACACCCCATACAATAGCCGCAAAGCCGCCAGAATTGTGGACGACCCCCCTCACTCTTTTCACGGACTATTCACCCTCCTGCCATCTGACAGAAATTACAGGATCATCTGTACTACACCAGCAGACTCCGCAACAGTTTCTTCTTAGAGGTATGAAAACCTTCCCTGAGCACTTGAATTAGCACTTTGTTTACCTACTATTGTTTTAAATTCTTGTTTTGTGTTCACTTTTCTTACCTGACTCCCCAATAACACTGTCAGACGGATGGTATTCTTAATCCCTCACCTAGTGAACCAGTATGAGGATGTGTTCTTCATAGAGACTACAAAGCACTCCAGTAAGTCACTCTGGATAAGAGTCTCTCGTTAATGCAGCAAATGTAAATGCTATTGTAACTTGTTTAACTGATGTTCCACAACATTACATGTAACCATAAACAGATGAAAAGTATGATGCGTCATTCAAGTACAAAATTGTAATCGTTGGCAAATTGCCGTGGTATAAGAGGAAAAAAACACTTGGGGATGTGTGGTTATTGCACACGCTGTCGTTTTTTTTTTACATACTGTGTACATTTTTTGTACTTTTTTTTTTTTTTTATTATATTTGTGTTTATATGCTAATTATAATTTTGTTCTTCTTTTTAGGTAACCCCGCCCCCCATCCTTTTGAAACTACTAAAGATGTCCTCTTTGATTTTTTCCCGTATAGTGCAGACTTTCTCACAAATGTTGACACACCTTTTACCTTATATCTATTACATATTTGCATTTCTGGGAGTGTCTTTAAGAGCCGAGCTTGCCAAGTGTATCAAGAGAAAGTAATACAGACACACACACACACACAAAACTTCATAAACAAAATTTTTTGCATGTAACATCATTCACACAATTATTATTAATAATATTATTATTATTAGTAGTAGTAGTAGTATTTATAGTATTATTTATGATTAAATATTGTTATTATTATTATTATTTATAAATCATCCACACAGTGTTGACTAATTATACACACACAAATTAGATTTTTTATTTCGGATTTCCGCAGATGATTAAACCATGAAATAAGATTATTTTTCTCGTAAACCCTGACCATATTTGTGATTAGCTGTATGACATGATATTAATATTAATATTATTATTATTATTATTAGTAGTAGTAGTAGTAGTATATTATTAGGTACAGAAATGTAGTAATGATTTGTCATGTGCATTTAAAATTTTCTGGAACATTCTCTGTCTAACACATCCCGAGCAAAAATAACCTTCATGCTAATGTTTAGTATAAAACTTTAATGTGATGGATCAAATGAACCAACAACCCCCCCCCACACACACACACACACACACCCTGAAATAAAAGCTGCACCACAGCAGTCTGCATTGTGCGTAATTGTGGGATGATAATGCACATAAAAGAGTGTTTGAATGAATGAGTTTGTGTGTGTGTGTGCGTGTGTGTGTGCGTGTGTGTGTTACCTGAGGGCAGGCTGATGAAAGCCGAAGCCAGGATGGTACAGTCCAGTCCTCTTCTGTCCCACCAGCTGCTGTCTCTCACAGTCTTCTGGACGAGACGATTCAGCTCCATCATCAGCGTCTCACATTCCCCCGTCTCCTCCTTCTGTCCTCCATCTGATCTCCTCTCCTCCGTCTGTGTCCATTCTTCCGGGACGTTCTGCATGCTGCTGATTCTGCCGGTTCTGAGACACTGTTTACACACACACACACACACACACACACACTCGTACACACTTTAAAGACGCCTTCACACATTAACACTCACTCTGTGTTTGCTGGTCACAGTGGTAAACTGATCCCCCTCTCTCTCTTCTCTCTCTCTCCCTCTCACATCATTCGCTCCTCCCACCTCCCTTATTCTCTCTGTCTCTACCTCAGTCTGTCTCTCTCTCTCTCTCTCTCTCTCTCTCTCCCTCTTCTCCACTGTTCCCATCCTTCGCTGTGATATATATATATATATATATACATATATATATATAATCACTCGCACATACACACACACACACACACACACACACACACACACACTAGGACACTAGGTTGACTTTGTCTCTGTACATGAATGCTGCATGCCCCTCCTCTCTCTCATTCAGCTCCAAAAGTATTGGCACCCTTCTATAGTATGAGCAAAAGAAAGAAAGAAAAAACACTAGACACAATGATATTCCATTCAAAAAATGGAGAAGCTGCTTACCTTTTATCCGGAAAAAAAATAACTTTCAATAATGAAAAATAAAAAACATGGCAAAATTATTGGCACCTCATCATCTTCATCATAAATGGCACACTTATATAGCACTTTTATCCAAAGCACTATACACTGTGTCTCATTTACCCACTCACACTCACTAATGGGAGCAGAGCAGTCATGCAAGGCGCTAACTTGCCATCGGGAGCAACTTGGGGTTCAGTGTCTTGCCCAAGGACACTTTGGCATGTGGAGTCACTCGGGAATCGAACCACCAACCCTACGATTAGTGGTATGCTCTACCACCTGAGCCACAGCTGCCCCTCATCATCATCATCATCATCATCATCATCATGATTATAATGTTAGTTGAAACTAAAAGCCTGTTTTCCTGCTGCTAAGTGATTCATAGGTTTTAATAAAACTTTATGGACGTAATTTTTTTTCTTTTATTTGTTTTTCGCCTTTTTTTTTTTTAAAGAAGAGATGATTTAATTAGCACAGACACATCCTGACATGGACCAGAACTCCTCTCTCTGATCCGAAATGAACCGGAATCAAGCATTTTAAAGAGCTCATATCATGTTTTTATTTTTTATTATTATTTTTTTTATAAATGTTTTCCTTTTGCTTGAGTGTACATGTATCTGTGTGTGCATGTAGAAGATCTGCACAGTCACGAAGCTCATACTCTTCCCCCAAAGGGATTTATTCTACCTAACAGAGAGCACTGCTCCAGACCCGACTAAAACTCCTCCATCCCAGTCCAGATATTACATCCGCAAACATCTACATCACTATGTGAAATTTTAACATAATCCCGCCAAAACGCAGGTGCAAAGAAAAAAGGCGCGGCTTTAGTTGTTTTGACGGCATGTCAAGAAGACACTGTGTTTCGATGCGACAGCAAAACCCCTTTGTTTAACCTTCTGAAATCAGTAGTTAACATTTATTTATAATGCCATTCCTGAGCAGTACGACCCAATTGCTTGCTTGTGCACAGCACATTTTACAGAGGACAGCTTCCTGAACCTAGGTGAGTACAACGCAGGTTACACATGAACGCTACTGAAAAATGGGGCGATTCCCACTTTACTCTGACAATCTTGAGCTTCTGAATCAGGACCTGTAAATGTGTGTGATTATTTTATGAAGTCTCTAACAGCTATTGACATTTCAAATGCGGAGTTTTGTGTTGCAGCCTAGGGTTCACCTCTGCTAGCGTGCTAGCAAACGTTATTGTGTTAAAGTAGTTTTGATATTCAGCTGTGGGAACAGTAGTGCATATTATTTGTCATTCTTAGGATCTTCACAAGTGATCAAGTGCATAAAGTTCAGGACATAACCGGAATCCGGAACGGGTTTCAAGCAGCCTGGCAATAGAGCTACTGCAATAATGTATAGTATGTTACAAATAATTTGGTTTTTGAACATTAAAGCATGTTCTATTACACCCAATTAACAAATGAATTAACTTTTAAAAACTTTTTAAAAAGCATCATATGGCCCCTTTAAAAATAAACACAGCACTCAGTTTAATGAAATGTGATATACACAGTCACCTAGTGGTTCCTTTCAAACATCCATCCATCCATCTTCTATTATTCCTTCTTCAGGGTCGCGGGGAACCTGGAGCCTATCCCAGGAAGCATTGGGCACAAGGCGGGGTACACCCTGGACAGGGTGCCAGTCCATCGCAGGGCACAATCACATACACACTCATACTAATATTATATATTACAGCTGTTTGTAGTTGATCACTGATCATTATTAGATATGAAGGTTGTTCAGTACATCACATGGATTTATAAAGAACAGTGACACGAGTTACAACATTTTAAGATGATAATGAATTGTTTATATCAATGAATTGTTTACTGAACATTGTTAGAGTTTTATTTATAAGGAATTATTAGATTTTGCACAGTTATAAAGCCAGTTACAATTTATGAAAAAAGCCTACATAGATTATTCATAAATCATGAATCACAGGTTATTATCAGTGGTACAGGTTGTACGCTACACTACCTGGCCATTATAATGAAGAGTGCTACTTCCATTACTACTCTGTATCAGCTCTACTGATTTGCAGAATGATGGCAGAAAAACAGTCCGAAAAAATTAAAGATCCACCTCCTTATTTAACCGTGGGCATGAAGTACTTTTCCATATGGCTACCTCTCTGTGTACCAAAACCACCTCTGGTGTTTATTACCAAAAAGCCCGATTTTGGTTTCATCTGACCATAGAACCCGATCCCATCTGAAGTTCCAGTAGTGTCTGGCACACTCTTCACAGTGTGTTGAGACGATATAGACACACGTCCAATTCCAGATTGATTCATAACATTTCCAGTCGACTGGAACTTCTTAATTATTGCCCTGATGGACATTTTCAGTGCTTTTGCTATTTTCTTATAGACACTTCATTATGTGAAGCTCAACAACGTTTTTCTGCACATCACAACCTTGCTCTTATTCCTTGCTCTTCCTTGTAATAAACACGACCCACACCAACTACAGTGACTCCTAGAGAGAGTGTATGTGTGTGTGTGTGTGTGTGTGTGTGTGTGTGTGTGTGTGTGTGTGTGTGTGTATATATATATACACACACACACACACACACACACATACACTCTCTCTAGGAGTCACTGTAGTTGGTGTGAGTTCTGGAGAAAATCAGGAGTACATTGACCAGGGCTTGTAGCTGGGGAATTGGGGCCAAACAGCATGGCTTAAAGTGCAACTATTCAAAGTGGTCTAGTAGATGCTGAACACAGTCTTTGGGTGTTTTTTCTTCAAAAAACAGCTAAAGACCCACCTCTTCCGTGAACACCTAACCAACTCCTAGAGGGGAAAAAAATAAAACAATTTTTTTTTTTTTAAACCACACACAACGCACTTACACCTCTACTCTGTGCACTTTGCTTCCTCTGGTATTCAATTAATGGATCTTGTATAGTAGCACTACTTGTATTGTATTGGGCACAATCACATTGATTTATTTCTGTAAATCTGCGTTGTGAAAATGTCCTTTGTTAAAAGCGCTATACAAATAAAATATAATTGAGTTGAGATTATATTTACATGTTCAGACATTGCCCATTTTCGCTGTGTAGAAATGTTAAAGAAATCATTTTAGATTTGAATTGTGTGTATCTTTATTTTTTTTTCAGTGACTAAGCATAATTATGATAATTTATTGTTTAATAATGTGATAAGCCCAATACAATTACAATAGTATGTTCTAAACACCCTTAAATACAGTTAATTTAAATAAATACATTTGTGATATATTTGAGAATTTAATATTTCAGAAAGAATTTTAATAAAAGTTACCACTGAAATGTCCTCCTATATAATATAAATAATTTGCTCCCTAACAGATGTCTTATTTTAGTTATGGGATTATATTTTATTTTGTAAAGAAATAATAAATGAGAAAAATGTTGTTGCTGTAATTAAGAATATTTGGTAATATTTCTAATTTACTCGAGTATAATTTTGCCAAATTAAAATCCTCACTAGACACATTAGATAATTACGAAAACATTAGATAATTACTAAAACATTAGATAATTACTAAAACATTAGATAAGCAGAAACCAGAAAATACACTCCAAATACACACACTGCTCCACATGAGTCTAAAAGAAGTGACTCAGTAAAGAGCCGATTCAAAGAGCCGACTCAATGATCCGACTCGTCCGTGAGGCGCAAAGTTTTTCCTCACCAGAGAAAACACTGAGTGAATTTCTGAGGTAAAAAATCCGTTAAAACTTCCATTACTGTTTATTTTAATCTTTTCCGTCCATCTCTGATCCCATCTGATAACTTTAACTGTTTATATTTTTATATATAAGGAAGATATTTGGCTGTATTTTCACTGCTAATGAGTTTTCAAGCTAACAGCTATACAAAAAAACAGTTATCGAAGCTGTGAGGCTCTAGAAGCTACACCTCAGTAACGTCACTCCTGGCTTTAAATCGATTATTGAGTTATTTATTTTCATTTGATCGTACTCAGATGCATAATCTACACATTTATTTGTCTGTAAAGTCTTTCAGGTTAGAAATTCTGTGGAGTTATCTCGTGTTAGCTTCCTCTGAATACTGCCCCCTACAGGTGAATATTTCACTACAGTCTTGTGTTTGTCTTTCTTGTTAATATCTTTATTAATATAGCAACACTTTTAATCACTTGTACTCTCTTTTTGTTCCCCTCAGGCGGACAGATCAGTGATCCGGGGCTGAATAAGCAGATGTCATGTCCTGGTTATTAGTTTTTAATAGTGGACATGTAGATTCTACATCCAGAGAAAGAGAAAAAAACTACTTTCTGTTCTCTTTTCCAGACTAAAGTTTATATTTGGTGTGTGTGTTTTAAAAAGACTTTTTCAGTGATGTGATGCACCTCAACCCTGTAACTATAGTACACTCTACTTCATCTAGCAACCAATTGGGTTAGCCTAGCAACCACCTGCCACGCCCTTATTGACCTTTAGTCTGCACCATGTGGGACATCCTCATCAACAGTGAGTGATTTCCACTGATGAGAACTCCAAGCAGAAGTAGAACATCAGGATGGATCAGGTAGGTCTGGAGAGCAGAAGGGGTCAGGATCACTGGTATCTCAGGAGTATCATGTGTAACTCCACAGAAAGAGAGAGAGATTATTAGGTAAGCTTCTTGTCCTGTAATGGTTAAGGACAATGTAGTTTGCGTGATTGAAAGCAGGAACTCCCGCAAGTTACTACTATTACTATTACATTTTACCATTTAGTATTTTTATTTCATCTCATCGACACAACTAGTTTCCTATAAAAAAAAGAAATGGATATAGAGGTATATGTAGAACTCTTATTTTATTACAGGTGTATGAAAATACAGATGAACTGTTTGGTCATTGTATCACACTGTATGTGTCCTCCAGTTGGAGTTGATGTCAGTGATGTGATTCCTCTCCCCCACAGTTATATAGTCTGAGAGAGAGAGTACAGAGTACACTTACATTCAGCAGCAGCTCATAACAACCAGCTTCATGCTTTATTACTGCTTTTAATCCGTCTATCAATCACAACACACTCATTTCTGTTCACAGATCTGTTCTAAAATAAATAAAAATCCCTATCAGCAGGGTTTATGATAATTACCACATTAACAAGTATATTTTATGTGAAATTCAAGACTGGAATCAGTAATCAGTGTCTAGGGGCGGGCGATACGACTACAATCTTATTTCACCATAACGATACGTTCTCTCAGGCAGGTCCATCAGTAGTGTTCAGGTAAGAAATCCTACAGAAATTGAATAAAGCGATT